AAATATTTTATTACAAAAATCAAAAAATAAAACATTAATTAATAAAAAAATGATAATTATGGACAACGATTTGTTATGGGAGAATATTTTATATATCATACAATCATTGTCAAAATTATTAATGCTATTATTAGCTAAACTTACTATTAGATTAATTAAGCCAAGATTTTGATATTCATATTTACATCCTATCTATATATTAGTAAAATCTTTTCCTCTACTGATAAATTAGAGACCAATTTAGATATTAAAGATAATTTTTTTATATTAAAATTTAATTATTTAATTTAGATGTATAGAATTAAAACAGATAGAAAATCCAGAAATATCCAAATCAATTTTAATGATTTTAAAATATATTCTTAATGACATGATTTTGAACAACTTTATTTTATATATATATAAATTATATTATATTAATTGAATTAATTATATAATAATAATAATAAATTATATTATATTATATTAATAATAAATTAATTATATTATATTATATTATATTAAATTAAATTATATATATATATAATATATTCGTGAGATAATTTTGAAATTGGAGTACATTTAGACTACAAAATAAATACAAAAGTTAATATATAAAAATATCAAAATTTATTATTTTATAAATAATTTAAGTTCGCGTTATAAGCGGGAACAAAAAATGCAATAGTGATATAACAGAAACAGAATAGTTTCACTTTTTTTCATTTCACTTCATCTAATATAAATTTGAATTATTCAATTATAATTTAATAAATAAATCTTAACTATTATTTTTGTATATCAACTTTTGTATTTGTTTTAGCCTTTAGAATCAATCCTTTAAATGTTTAATAAATATATTATTCTATATAAAAGCCATTATGAATTTATCTGAAAAATATTATCTTGTGAATTTAGAACTATTACATAAATGATAATTATTCAAATAATTATTCGAATTCTTGATTTTAATGATTTTTAGATATGTTGTACAGAATAAAATTTTAATTATATTATAATTTTATTATATATAATTTAATTATATTATTTTAATTATATTGTTAATAAATTAAACAATTTTTTTTTGTATAATATTGATCTTAGTTTTCGATATTTAAAAAGAAGATGGCTATTATTACCTAAAATTTTTCTTATAATATTTCTTATATAATTATATATGACTGCATGTAAATCTGTGACCACGATTTTTTTTGTTCCTATAAACATATCGCAACGGGCTAAATCCAAAATATATAACTGATAGAAATGGTCTAAAAAAACTATTTTCTTATAGATTATGATAAAATTTCTTAGATTTACAGAATATAAAAATAAAATACAGAATATAAACTTTTAATGATAGAATTATAATGATATAATTATAATGATGTATACCAAGAATGATGTTAATATTTATTGTGACTAAAGACAAATAATAATAAATAAATAAATCATTTTATATTTTATTTTTGTATTCTACGCATTCTTCGAATGCCAAATTCAGCATTAAATTTGACATATTTTAAGCCCATCATAATCTATAAGAAAATAATAAATAAATAATAATAAATAATAAATTTATATCAATAGAGAATAAATGGCATATTTATAAATGGCATATATACAGATATATTGATGTAAAAGAAATTTTATGTATAAGCAATCTTTTTTTACAAATATTTCAAAAATTAAGACTAAATGGCTATTATATACATAGAAAAAAATTGTTCAAAATTTCTCTAAATCATTGAAATTAGTGAAAACTTTTCTGCTCCAAACAATTACTAATTCAATTCAAACAAATTCATTGTCACTAAATTTATTATTTATATATAATACTATTATAATATATATAAGATTTTTTATCATGTGTTGAAAATCATTTTTATTATTTTTTATTTATTTGTATATCAAAAAAATTACAAAAGATCCTATCAATGCAATCAATATATAGATTTACTTAAATTTATATTTTTATGCTATTACATATGTAAAATATGTATATCTTTTAGAGGATTAATTCTAGAATGCAAAATAAATTCAAAAATTGATATACAAAATATCAGTTAAAACTGATTTTATTATTTTATTATTATTAAATTATAAGTAATTTAATTACATATAGAATATATTAAGAGTTAAGTATAAAAAAGAGTTGCTAAAAATGATATCTTTAATAATATATTTCAAGATCATTGACATCGATGATTATTAAAATCACATGGACAAGTTTATCTTTAAAAAGATTAAACCTGCCAATTTCTTATTGATTTTGAAATTTATTAAAGAAAAATATTTAATGAAGGATATTATTTTAAGCAATTTTTTTCCTTATAATTGACCCTATGGTCACTTTTCGAATTATTCACAAAAAATTTTTATATTTTTCGATGATAATATATCATTTTTTTAAATATGTACACATATTATTTCTATTTATATTTATATATAAATAGTATTAATATATGTGTTAATATGTGATTTTATATTTTTTTAATTATTTATGTATAAACATAATAATTTAATGTTATATTTAATATTTATTCATAATATTCAGAATATTTATTTTAAATATTTCATAGATTTTACAATTGATGTATAGATTTTACAAATTTAAAAAAAGAATAAATTTTAACATTTAAAATCGATTTTCTAAAATTATTTTACGAATATTAATATTATTGCTTATTTATAAAATATTATTGCTTATTAATATTATTGCTTATTTATAAATTAAAATTTTACATAAAAAATTATATAAAAAATCATAAAATAGTATATACAAAACAAATTAAATTAGTTGAAATTTTTAACTGCAAAAAAAATAACATCATTTTTTTATTATAAATTTAATGATTTTTAAATATTAATTTCTTCAGAAAAAAGAAAGTTTCCTTATAATAGAAATAAGAACATATACATATATAACAATAATATGTATATAATATATTATATCCTCATCATATACTTTTTTTACATTATTAAATTAAATTTAATAACATAATATTAAATTCAAATATAATTGCAATGCTTAACAATTTTTAAAAAGTGCACAAAATGCCAAAATAATATTTTTTTTCTGATGATTATAATTTATAATTGCATTTTAGTAAAAAAAAAAAAAAAAAAAAAAAAAAAACAAAAAAAAAAAAAAAAATAAAAGAATAAATAATAATAAGAAAAAATAAATTCTATAAA